GGTCATATGAAGGATGGCAGGACTTCAAAATGCTAATGTGTGCTATGAATACTCAGAGGGAGTACAGTATACAGCATTTTCCATACACATGTTTTACGCTCTCCTCCCCAAATCCAAGCAGCCTACTTCTGGAATTACTTTAAGAAGCCCTTCTTTTTAGTGTCTTGAACTCTGCCTCATTGTATCATCTGTCACTGTCCACTTGGGACCCCAGGGGAGTTTACATCTTCTTCTAGATGAGATCTCTTCAGCTACTTGAAGACAATGATCATGTTCTCCTAAGCCTTTTCCAGGCCAAACATTGCCACCTCTTGGAAATACTCCTTATCAGGCAGGGTCACCATCTCTTTACGGTGACTGTGTTTCAGCTTTACTTACGTTCACTTACAATTCTGTACCTAGAATCAACAGGAGTCTCTTAAGTGGGTTGATTGCACAAAGAATAGAAAGGAACTATTTGCCTCTGTTGGACTGGGCATTCCACTGCACTTTTATCCCCTAGTAGAAAAGTAGCAGCTAAGTTCTGGACACCAGAAACTTACGAACCTTGGATTTACAAACTGAGTTCTTGGTACGGCACTTTAACACGGAAATATGTTATGGCCCAAAGGAGACTGTCTACTTGAGACATTTAAAAAAAGGGGGTTTTAGAGAGAATTCTTATTTTATTATTTGCAAGCTCTACAGGCCCTGAAATAATTGTCCAGTGAAATGATTGGCAGCACCTCAGGGATTCAATTCCATTCTGAGAATACACAGACTTGACATTTACTTTTTAATATTCCCCTTGATCTTTTGTTTGGTCTTTCTCACCAAGAGACAACTTCATTGGTAAGCAAACACTGCTTTGTCTTTTTAGTTCTACATCTTTATGTTGTGTGTGTGTGTATATATATATATATTCAAACCAAAACTTTGAATGGAAAATATATATATTTGAATGGAAAATATATATATATATATATATATATATATATAGTGTGGAAAAAATATATGTAGTGTGTGTGTATATATACATTCAAACCAAACTTTGAAATGGAATATATATTCCATATATATATATATATTCCATATATATATATATATATATTCCATTCAAAGTTTGGTTAATAGCTCATGGCTTTTTTGAGCCATGGGATGAGGTCAGCATAGGTCAGGAAACAATTAAACCAATGGTCAAACAAGAGCATAGCAGAAAGGTCCTGCGCTCGGTGTAATGTAGTATATTTCCTCATGCTATATTATTCATTATAATGGTAATGCAATGAATAATATAACAATATACAATATATGTACAGCAATGCCAAGGTCCATGGGCATTTTAAATTCATTCCTAGTGCAGGGTATTTTATATTGCATCTTGTAGCATTAGAGTGTGTTCATGGATGCAGTGGAACCTTGTCAACCTGTTGGTACCTATTCCAGGTCTTATTTACCATGCTAGTGCTGTGAGTGTTGGCTGCTAATGACTCAGAGATACCCTTCTTTTCCCCAGAGAACTGTCCTCAGCCAAATGGGATGCTCCTTGCCTGAGATGCCCACCACCACTTCCTGGGGCAAGCCATGGCAAGTGACTGTGGGACAGGACTGTGCAAAGGTCAGTTTCTTATCTCAAGTTGGGACTGCTCAGTAGGGTCAGTCTGAAGTGGACTCACCTGAGACCACAGCCTTGCTTGGCTTCTTCCCCTGCTCCTCCCGCCTCTTTGACTGTCCTCCTGGGGACACTCCCCATAACAAATGACTTTCACAAGAACCCCTGTTCTCAAGTCCTGCTTCTAGGGATGCTAACCTAAGACATCACTATTATTATTTTTCCCAGTGGTTGCCACTTGGACAGTTATGAAAGTGAATGATTCTTTGTGCAGCGACTGTATACAGAAACTTGATGTTTTAGGCAATGAAATCCATTTTGAAAAATATTTGTTTAGAAAATATGAGTCCATTTAATATGCTGTGTCTTTTGTTAAGTGGACTCCAACTAAATAACTTTAGTTAATTTAAAAATAGTTTTGGAAACAAGGGATCTGTCAATAAACAGAAGAATGGAGTCCCTTGGAAAAATCTAATTGTTGGAGTAGATTCATGCATTGAGTTAGTTATATTAATAGTACATGTTGACTTGTTGAAGTCTTTGAAATTTCAATGAGATGTAGATTACCACACAGGTTTAATGTTCTCCTGAAATGAGTCATGGTAGACAGCTAACTCAATATAAAGATAGAAAGCCATAGGCACAGTGAAGATGAGTCCTCCCACCCCGAACTCTCATTGTCAAGGTCTAAGAATGGCAAGAGAGAATCTGCTCAGTGGAGGAAATATGCTCATCGAACCAAGCACAAGAGATAGCTCAGAAATCTCCTGGCCTAGCTTAAGACTTGGTCTGGAGTCCTGTTGACCCAAAAGCAGGGGCATTCAGCATTGGAGCCGACAGGCACACCTGACTGCCTATTTCTCTTACATCTCCATGAAAAGTTGGGATGATCATCTTTGGCTTCATCAGGTGACCAAATTTTCTTGGAAGGGATAGCTAAGAGGTGATCAAAAAGAGTAGCAAGGTCCCAGAGGCAAAAATTGGATTAACCAGAGGTCATGCCATGGTGCCTACTTAACTCAAGGGGTCTGGGAGCCAGGTAAGTAGCAGTTTCAGGTGTCGAGTCCAAGGTCAAAGGAAAAACGTGGCAATAGGAAGCTAAACAAATTAGAAACAGATGGGTCAGTGAATGAGGCTGGGGTCCTGGTCTACTTTTACTGATCAGCGATCATATGGCAAAAATGTGTCCTGTCCATCTTTAAGGCACAGGTGTCAGTGGGACACAAATGTGAGGCCTTGCAAAACCAACTGTGAGTGCCCACTGAGGATGTCAGATTCATTCGATTTATAGTTTGATTTTTCTTGGCTATCGTACAACCTTTGGTTCTCAGTTGAAAGGAAAAAAAGAAGCAGCTTTAATATCTCTTCTGGAAGGTTATTCTAAGTGGATAACAGAAGGTAGTCCTTTCCTGAAAATCTAGAATACAAGGATGACCTGAGCCTTGAAGAAAACAAATCTTTGGGTAATCTGCGTGGAGACACCAGCCTGGGTTTGAAGGGTAAAGAAAGAGAAAGAGGGCAGATCAGCTGAGCTCCCTTAGCAGAGAAGTTAAAAGCCCTAAGCATCATTTCAGGAAGTTAGAGAACTTCTCAGCCCTATTCCACCTCTCCCCCTCTCCTCTCCTTCTCCCTCCTGTCTTCTCTGTCTCCCCCTTTCCCTTCTGCCTCACCTCACCTCCCTAAACCCCTTTCTTCTTTCCTAGAAGGAGCCTGCTGTTTGGTTTACTTTGGTTTTGCCCTTGAAAAGAGCAGCATGCCTTGTGGACTCCTTTTTTCCTTTCTTTTTTTAAAGATAAAATGGCAGCTACAATATAAATTTAATTCTGAGAAAAGCACAGTGCAATTGTCTTTAGCAGAGGGCATTTTCGGATGTGTGCTATTCAAAATAGAGTCTTTTAAAATTGTTGTCGCACTTGAGGCGTACCTAGAATCCTCTTTAGGGTAATGACTATGACATTCCTCAGAGGTGAACTCATTTCCATTACTCATCTGTAAAAACACATGTTCCATTTGTCTTTTCGCACTCATCACAATGAGATTTAAAATAGAGACTCATCATCACCTATTTAAGGGTTATGAATAGCGCTGCCTTGAAAAAGCCTGGTGGGAATTTGTGTGGAAATTGAAAGTGGCACGTCAGATCCAGAAGCTAGGCAGACACGGAAACCGAGTTAGCGGCCAAAGTGCCCAAGTATTCAGGGCATAGCACAGGATGAGACCTCCAAGCCCCCCGCGCTGATGGTCAGATACCAGGTGTCACTTTCAGATGGGATGTGAAATGGAAGGGTGGGAGCCCCAAGATTTGGCAGAGTCTACCAAAAAAACAAACAAAAAATGATCCATAATCCAGAGACCACCCTAAGTGGGAGACTGGATTACTGAGCCCATTCTTTACCCTTGTATCTATGCCCTTTGCCCGTGGGCTTGCAGTTCCTGCTACTAGAGGCAGAAGGGACTTCCCCATCCCTTGGCTATGGGCCTGGCCACACAACTTGCTTCGGCTGATGGAATGCCTCCAACCTGAGTCCTTAAGATTTGCAGGGTTCCACTTGTCCTTGCAATGAGAACAGGACATGGCTGGGCTGCTGGTTCAAGGAAAGGGTAAGAAATAAGGGATATAGAGAAGCTGCCAGCTCTGTGCCCTGTCTGGATCAGCCAAACCCCAGGTGACCTGAAGGTGCCCGCGTGAGAGTAAATTATGGCTATTTTTAAAACACTGGAGTTTTAGAGCAGTTGTTGGGCAACATTATGGTGGAAATCTTTGACTGATACAAGCACTATTCCTCCATGTGGCCTGTTTGAAGGAAGAACATGAATCACAGTGACTAGAACACGAGAGTGTGATTAGATAATGATTTTCTGAAAATGAGGACAGGCCTTGTGTATACCGTTGTAAGAAGGGGCTGACGTTGCTCCTCATTTTGAAGATCCCACCCCTCAGCTGGGCCTGGCAAAGGGTGGAGGAAACTGTAGAACCCTGCCTTCCAGTCCATACTGGAAACCACGGATATGTCCAACTTTGGGGATGCCAGACATTGGCCTCTTTGGGAAGAAACAAACATTCCAAGTCTCACTGGTTGCCCACTAGCAATGACGGGCTGATGAAGGTGTGCGATGACCCAGACTTCTTGCCTCAATGCAAGAAAGCTCTAAAGGACTTTAGGGCTCCCTGGGGGTCAGCTGAAGCCTTGGTTACAACTATATCACAACCCCACTTCTCCCTCTGCCCAGTCCTGCTTCCCTTACCTTTTCACAAATATCGCTCCCCAAAGCACTCCCGAACGATCCTCCTGCATGTAAATCTCTGAGGCCCAGAGTCTGTCGTGGGAACCTGGACCCGTGGTACACCACTCTCACTCAGCTTTCCAGGGGCGCTGGGATCTGGAGGAGGGGGCAGGGGAGGCCTTACCCACTATCATGTGGTTGCAGACATCACAGAAAGTGGGCTTCTTGAAGATGTGTTCCTGAAAGGCATGGGCCTTCCCGCCTGGGTGCAGGCCTGCCCTGGCGGGCGTGGACGTCAGGCTTCCGGGCACAGGGAGTGGGCTGGAGCTGGGGCTGACCTCAGCCAGCATGTCTGCTTGCAGCTTCACGTCGTCACTGTTGGCACGCTGGAAGAAGTTGTCAGCACTTTTGCTCCGTAAACTCTTGGTCTTGAAAGAGAGTGATCGTTTTAGTCTCTGGAGCTGTAATACAATGACAGAACAGTTTCTCTTACCATTGATGGATCAGGCAGACCAAGGCTGGGGGGGTGAGGTCTGTTCCATGCGTTGCACAGTTCCCACTGACACTCCCAGCCCCGAGGAGGCTCATGTATGGTCCCTGTATGGGTGGGGTGATGGCAGTGCCTAGTGACGAGGGAACTCAGCAGCACCAACCCACCCCTGTCGCCAAGCCAGACAGCAGAAAGTGGTCCCGTTGTGCCTTTGCTTCTGCCCCTGCTCCTCCTCCCTTCCCTCCTTCAGGTCCCACCAGTGTGCTGTCCAGCATGTCCCACCATGCTGGGTTTTGACATCACTTGCCTTTTGAATTTGAATCATTGGAAATGTTAAGTGCATGGACTCATGGGCTCAAAGGCTGGGTGTGTAATGCTAGCCTTTCTTTCTTGTGATCACTTAGCAGCCACTTGTCTCTGCACACAGCAAAGCAGAAGAGGCCATGGTCTGATTTGAAGTCAATCTGGCTCAACTATCCACAGAACACAAACCAGAAACTCTCAAGTCTGCTTGGGTCTGAAGCATATGGATAAGTAACCTCTGTGTGCGTGCGTATATGAGTGTGTTTGCATATGTGTGCGTGTGTGTGCATGTGTGTGTGTGTGTGTGTGTGTGTGTGTAGGACACAGTGTTGAATTATCCCTTTGACTTTCTGTGCTCTTCCTGCTGCCCTGCCCCTTGTTTTTGGCCACGACAAACTAGACCATTTCTCCTTTGCCTTTGGGAGTTAGGAAGAGGCACCAAAATGGGTGTGGAAAAGCACTAGCTTCTGAAAGGTTTGGGTTTGAGTCTGGTCTGCCCCTCTAATCCAGTCTTCTCACTGAAGCTAGAGGGATCGTTGGGAAACACAGATGTGAACAGATGAGCCTTCTTGTTTAAAATCTCTCAAGTAGTTTCCTTTGTTCTTATATTTAAAGAAAAACTCCTTGTTGTGGGTTCCAGAGATTGGCATATTCTGGACATCAGTGACAGCTGGCACCACCATCCACCTTGCTCTGTTCCCCCAGCCACAGTGGTCTTTTAAAAGTCTCTCCTAGTTACTATTCTTTTTCATTACCATCCCTTAGTCCATAGTTCTTCCTCTGCTCAGATAAAAGAAATGGGCCTCCTACTCACTAGTTTCATGACCTGCAACAAGTCACTTCACCTTTAAGGTGGTTTCCTGAACAGTTCTTTTTATTACCTAGAATTAACATCTATAGCAGGCAAAAAGGTGCTCAGATATTAAACCAAAAAGCTTTTTCATAACAAAGAAAGTAATCAACAGAGTGAAAAGACAACCTACAGAATGAGAGGAAATATTTGCAAAATATTCATCCAATAGGGGATTAATATCCAGAATATATAAGGAACTCAAACATCTCAACAGCAAAAATAACAACAACAATAACAAAAACCACCTAAAATCTGGTTAAAAAACAGGCAAGTAATCTGAACAAACATTCTCAAGAGAAGACATACAAATGGTTAACATATATATGACAAAAATGCTCAACATCACTAACCACCAGGGAAGTGCAAATCAAAACCACAATGAAGGATCCTCTCACTCAGGGAAGGATGACTATTATCAAAAAGACAAAAAATAGCAAAAGCTGGCAAGGATGTGTAGAAAAGGGAACAGTGTTGATGGGAATGTAAATTTAGTATAGCCACTACGGATAGCAGTATGGAGGTTCCTCAAAGACCTATAAATAGAACTACTATAGGATCCAGCAATCCCACTACTGGGCATTTATCCAAAGGAAAGGGAATCAGTATGTCAAAGACACTTCAGCACCCCAATGCTGTCTACTACAGCAGTATTTACAATAGCCAAGATATGGAATCAACTTAGGTGTCCAACAACAGATGAATGGATAAAGAAAATGTGATGTATATGCACAATGGATTGTTATTCAGCCATAAAAAGGAATGAAATCCTGGCATTTGTGGCAACAGGGATGGAACTGGAGGGCATTATGTTAAGTGAAATAAGCCAGGAACAGTTAAACACCACATATTCCCACTCATATGTGGAGATGAAACAAAGTTGATCTCATAGAAGTAAAGAGTAGTACAGCGGACACCAGAGGCTTGGAATGGTAAGGAGAAGGTTAAAAGACACAGAATCATAGCTAGACAGGAAGAATAAGTTCTAGTATTCTATACCACCATAGGATGCCTATAATTAACTATAATATATGGTTTCAAATAGCTAGAAGGAGGATATTGACTGTTCCCAACCCAAAGAAATTATAAAAGCATGAGATGATGGATGTGATAATTACCTTGATCTGATCACTATGTATTATTGATATATCTATTAAAACATTACTCTGTACCCCATAACTATGTACAATTATTATATGCCAATGAAAAATAATAAAAATTGAAGAAAAAGGTGCTCAGTACACTATTCTAACAAGGGCCTCCATCAAGTATGCTCAGACTCCCTTACACAATATGCAAGACAAGTGGATGTCACCTTGCCAAGCCCAGCCGCCTCCTCCTCAGCCTCCCAACTTTCTACCTCAGAAGTCCAGGAAGATATGGTGGCCAGTAGTGCTTGCTGTGGACTGCAGAAAGGCCACATTCTCTCCCCTTCTCCTTCTCCTTGCCATTTTGCAATGTGACTTTGTATCTCCTCTGATCAAAAGTGAAGCCTATTCTCTCACTCCTTGAATCTAGTTGGTTTGAGGAATTTGACCAATAGAAGGCAGCAGAAGCAATTTTAAGGCAGTTCCAAGCCCAGGCCTCAAGATGCCTTGCATACTTCTGCCCTCCCTTGGGAAACCTGCCAAACTACCGTATGAACAAGGTACCTAAGGTAGCTTGAGGGATTATGAGAGACACGTGGTCTAATCAATTCCACGTCACTCCAAGGAGACCCCAGAAGTAGATCTTCCCTGCTGCCCGGCAGGCATAAGGGAATCCAGATGAGACCGGAAGAACTGTCCAGCCGAGTCCTGCTCAAATTGTCAACCCACACACTCATCAACTCAAGAGGTGTCTGGTGTTTTAAGCCATTAAATCATGTGTGGGTTGTGAGTACACAGCAATAGATAACTGTTACAATACTTCTTTGTACTTCTTTGCCCATCTGAGGTTAGATGTGGTTGTTTGAAGCCAGCGCTCTTCTCTCCACTTCAGGGAGCTACTGTTCAGTAGGGAGGACCTGAAGGGCCCTCTAGAAAACCCCACTATGGCCACCAATGGGGCTCTCCTGGCCAGAAAGGGCTACCCTGGAAAGCAGCAACAACCTACACAGAAAGGTCAGAAATAGTGGGCCAGCTAGGACTCTATCCTCTTTCCTTCTACCCTATAGTTCAAGTCTTCCAGAGGAGGTAGAGCTGCTAAAGAAGGGGGATAAGGAATTTTTGGGTTATTGTGAGCTATTGTGGAGTTGCTTGTTACTGTGGCATGACCTAGCATATACTGACTAATATAGGGGAGCAGGTTTTGAGTCTTTGGAAGCATGGCATTGATTGTGAAAAGGCCCCTCCATCTCTGAAAAAGCTAAGTGGGGTGGGGGGCTATGCGACAATCACTGTGATTGAACCACACCAAGGTGAGGACCTGGAAACAGCAAAGGGGCAGAACAGACCCTCTTTACTTCAAGTCCTTCAGGCTATAAACTGGACAGGGGCTGGAGGAAGGGAGGCTTAAATAGGAGACTAAACTAGACTTTTTTTACTTTAGACAAACTTTTAATACATTAAAGTAACCAAGAAGTTAAAGAATCTGCCAAGATTTTGTCATGAGATGTACAACCAAGGGAGAGGAAAGTATATTAAAGCCAATGCCATTAAACAGAAAAAATAAAATCATTTTCTGTTTACTCCTCACTGAGTTTAGAAGGTTCCATAAATTGGCTACCCACGTCTCAAAAATTGAATAATAACCTCCACCCTGATTATACAAGGGCACTATTGTGAGGGTCACAGAGGATGATGTATAGGGGGACACCCTAAGAGCTCTTCAGGGTACAAAAGGTGGAGGATGATGGGGCAGGAGAGGGGTAGCAGGAACTGGGAGTATGGAGCTGGACTAAGTGCTTCGCCAGGTGACCCCTCGTAATCGTCCCGACCTTTCATGAAGATGCTATTTTATTCTTGGAGAAATGGAGTCTGGAGAAGGGTGAGCAACTTGCCTCAGGTCACACAGCTTATGTGAATCAAGACAAGGGCTCACAGCGAAATCTGCTTTCCTCCCATCCTCATGCTCTTTCCACTGCAAGTGAGGCTTTAGGGGTTGGGTGGGGGAACGGAGGAGGGTTACCCTTCAAACCCAGGAGGATGAAACAATTTCCGGGGGTCAGTGAGGGTGGGAAGGGATATGGAGTGGGAAGCCAGGATAGGGAAAGTGTCTAGGTGATGCCTACACACTTCCAGCCTTGTCTCCCACCTGTGCTCACATGCTGTACAACTTCTTTCAAACTCTTTGTCATATGTGGTGTTCTGTATGCCCTGGAAGTTTACGTGTGATGTTTCAGTGTGATGCTAGGAAAGCTGTAGCATTTTCCTCGCCCTGTACGATGTGGCTGGAAGTTTTGTCAGGCAGTCGGAGCCTGACTGCCTCTAGAGCTAGAGAATTAGCCTTGGAAGCCAAGGTGACATTTCTTATTCAAGTGGATGGCTTAGAAGAAATATCTACATGTTAAATAATGTCCTAGACATGAACCCAAAGGAATATGTTTTCTCCAATTATCCCTAAAAGAGCAAAGGCCAGATGAGAATATTATGCAATGCAGAAATAGAAGCAAACCCTCGTAATCACAGATGTCACAGAATGCTTAGCTTCCATGCACCACTGCCATGTCCTAGCTCCATTTTGTTTATAGTAATAATGACAAAAAGGAAGAGATATTCTTGGGTACCTGACCATGTGCTAGAAACTACTCTATATACTTAATATAATCATCCTAACAATCTTATAAGGGAATCATTCATTCATTAAATAATTCATTTAGTAAATATTTATTGGGGTAG